TTTACATTAACACAAGTTAATGAGGGAGACTACGCTGGTTCAGGGGATGATTTATCCCCTTCCTCAAAACTCAAAAGGCAGCCATCCACCAAATGGCAGCACTTTAGGGTCATTTTGATGGTATTGATTGACATTGCAAAACTATTTTAATGATAATGAAGGGTTGATAGTAAACTCAAAACATTTTGTTATTTATCATAATTAGTTTCATTATTTTAGTTAGTGGCACGCGTTGATATGAAACAACCATGTTGGCTACATACGACAGTAAAAAGTGAGTCTTGATGCTTTTACTTATCATTTGCCCGCCTGCAACTCGTAGACTATCTCTTGTAACAGTTTTTGGGTCTCCCATTTAATAAAAAGAAAAGTAGAAAGGGGACAAATTAGCTCAAGCTTCATACAGAATATTTTTTATTTTTTATTTTTTATTTTTGGTTCGTCCCTTGAGTATCCACTGTCGATAGCGGTGACTAATCTCCTCGCTACATTAGAGGCACCTCAAAGGGTGAGATAGCTGGTCCCAAGATTTAACGGTATAAATATATATTTATATTATTATTTAATCATGTTATATGTGATAATTTTATAATAGTTATCTTAAAAAAAATTCATGATGGTTTATTATTAGTTGGAGGCGTAAATTTGTTCATTTAGACATTCATTCAGTACATAACAATTAAGTTTAGATTTAGCTGTAATTTTGGCAATTATATCACAGCCAATGGGAGATTTTGGTTTTTTTAATAATATTTTATTTGAATTTCGTCTTTATTATTATTTTTTATTTATAATTATTATAACCAAGTTGTTATGTCACTTTTCCTTTATGAAAGTTTAAAATTTTTATTTTTACTCAAATAATTACATGTTTAGGAGAAATTTGAGATGGCAAATTTATATGGTTCAAAAGTTATAAGTTTAACTTTTGAAAGATTTTGAGGGTAAAAATTGAGTTATTTTATTTTATTTTTTACTTTTTATTTTATTGTGTGGGTGAAACATGATGTTTTGTTGGAAGACTTTGAATGAAACAAGATTTGAAATGGTTTTATATTTTTAATCTGTGGAAATTATAAGAAAATGGTGTCATTTTAAAATTAACTAATTTTTAATTATATTTATTAAAAGTTAAAGGATTATTATAATTAAAATATAAAAAACAAATTCAAGAAAAAGTAGAGAAAATATAACATGATCCAACGTTAAAGGAAAATATGATATGTAAATTTGTTTATATATGTGTAAAGTTATCCTACATCCAACAATTTACTGTTTACATTACATTATAACTATTTATTCGTGAAATTGAAAATTCTTATTAAATATATCGTTTAGAAGTTTTTTTTTTTTTAATTTTAAAAATGATTTGATATTTCATCTCTTTAATTCAAATTTGACGTATTAAAATTAATATATATTCACATACACTATTTAATAATATTATTTTATGTATTATTTAATTATCATTATTATTTTATTAATATTGATTGAACCATATTTAGACTATTAAATTTTGAACTATCTTGATTAGTTTGATTCTAAAAAAGCATTGATCTTAACTATTTATTGTCTTAGTATCTTCTCTATTACTTGCAATAGTATCTTTTGTTCTCACAATTTTCTATTTGTAGCTTTGATATCATAATTTCTAATATAATATATGATCTAAATAGTTGTGTCTCTAATGATAAATAAAATAACTTAGTGATGTAATATCAATTAATGATATTTAATTTTGCAAGCATATACTATATGATTGTCCATTCACCAATTTAGTCTTATTTAATGTTATATAATTTTTATCATATTAAGACATACTTATTTCATGTTAAACTTTTTAGATGTCTTTCTCCTATTATATAAGATATCATTTATCTTTTATCATATCTTGATATCTTTTATCTTGATTTCTTGTATTATATATGACATTTATAATATATCTACATTTTTTTCTAAACCGATGAGAATGAAGGAACAACGACAAACCTTAAGATAAGTAGATATAGGTCTAATATTCACATTTAATTCACCTAATCATATTCATGACATAATTTATGATAAAATTATTTTATCATTAATTTATTGACATCCATAATTCATTTATAGATAGAGACACATCTTAAGAAATTTAGGAGCTATTAGATAAAAAAAATATATGTAATTTTCTTTATAAATTAATAAACATATGGGGTAAGATGTAAAGAAGAAAAAAAATTGATTGAGAATAGAATCGCCTTGCCCAAATATTATTGAAACTTATCTATTTTTTTCTTTTATAAGGAGTGTTCCCATTGAATATAAGGTCTAATTTTCTCGGAGGTAGGAAATGCGTAAATCCCTCTTAATTAAATTTGTTCCATTCACAAGACGTGAGAATCACCCGTAACTAACATTTTATATCTTATGAAAAAAAAACCAAAAACTTTATTTTCAAAGAACAACGACCATCTACAATAGGAGTTGCTTACAAGTAATTCTTATCCACTTTAAATAGATTTCACTGTGTCACATCACTTATGAGTAACTCATACTACATTTATACAATTTTTGTTTCAATGAGAGTTGTTTATAAGCACCTCCACTTTTTGACAATTCATACTACACTTTTTGATAAATTTTAAAAAATTTAATTTGGAGAACAAATCAAACCTCTCCACGTGGACTCAAGCAATGTGTTTTAGAGAAGATACATATCTTAATTTTTTAGCAAATTTCATTGTCATGTCATTCCACTCCAATGAGAGTCTGTAATAATGGACAATGCTTAACTTTTACGAACTATCTAAGCACTCTCTGCTGAAGGTGCTCTTATCACTCATGCGAATTTGAATTTGTTGTTCGTCTTCATAATTATCAAGCTGAACATGAAAAAAATACTACACTTTTTGATAAATTTTAAAAAAAATAATTTGGAGAACAAATCAAACTTCTCCACGTAGACTCAAGCAACGTATCTTAGAGAAGATACATATCTTAATTTTTTTAGCAATTTTCATTGTCATGTCACTCCACTCCAATGAGAACTTGTAATAACGAACAATGCTTAGCTTTTACGAACTATCTAAGCACCCCGTTAAAGGTGCTCTTATCACTCTCGTGAATTTGAATTTGTTGTTCGTCTTCATAATTATCAAGCTGAACATGAAAAAAAAAAATATAAGACAGAAGAAATTGTAAGTAAAGTGACTTATTTTATGCCTTTTGCTAGGTGTTCCTACAATTAAAGCCGTAAGTTGTAACACTAGTTCTCGGTATAGTTAAGTAGAGGAATTTTGAATCCCTAAAATAAATTAGCTTTTTTTAAGCATTAAGAGCAACTTCAATGGGAGTTGCTTGTCCCATGAAGCAACTCAAGTTCCGATTTCTTGTCATTGGAGGACTCTGACGTGGCAACATGAGTTGCTTGAAGAAGAGAGAGAGTTGTTTCCTCAAGCAACCGTTCCTTACTAGATTTCAAGCAGATCTTATTGAATATATTTGAGAACATTTCAAAAATAATAATGATAAAAATTAATTTCGTATAATGTTTATGTATTTATTATTGCTTTATTTTATTTTTAATATCTACTTATTATGTATTTTTTTTCCGTAATTTATTTTCTTTCATTGTAGTGCAATTATCCTTTTTAATAAAAAATTAAACTTGGTTCATAAATGATTAGAAAAAAAAATTATAAAAGTTAAATTTCTTAAAATTTCTTACCATTGGAGTAAATTTGTGTTTGAGTTGCTTAATGCTGACATAACACACTAGGAACCATTTTTTTCATTTTTCAATGCATGAAGCAGCTCAAATGAGTTGTTTCCATCAGAGATACCCTAACAATATTTTTCGCCAAAAAAAAAACATTAATGATATTTATTCCTATAGTTTAAGATAGAAATTCCAATCAAAGAAATAAAAGCATAAACTGATCCGGTTCAAAATTAATTAAAAAATCTTCTTAAATACACATCTATTAATTAATAATAGATACCCTTTATCCTTTATTTATTTATTTCTTAAATATTATTTTTTAGAAAATTATTTTTCAGAGAAAAAATATACTTTCAAAAAATAGTTTTTGAAATACAAAAAGTACATTTATGAAAAGTACGTTTTAGATCCAAAAACATTTTCTGGAAGTATATAATCTTTGCTTCTACAAATTGCTTTCTAGAAGATAAAAATATATTTTCAAATAAAAATTTTTAGAAGAGAAATATTTTTACTCCTTAAAAAAATACTTTCCATAAATGTGTTTTAGCACCCCCAACTTGAAGAGAAAAATATATTAATAGAAAATATTTTTTGAAAAAAAAAATATATACTTTTGGGACGTACTTTTTGGAAGATAAAAATATACTAAGGAGAAAAAATATATTGAAGAATTTTTTGAAAGAAAAATATTTTTACTCTTCATAAAAGTACTTTTAAGAAGTATAGTAATGATACAAATATATTGTTTCTAATCAATAATTTATTATAAAATCAACAAGTCATATTTTTAGAAACGTCTTCATAAATTTTATAACTTTGTATCTAATATACATATATATATATATATAATATTAAAAATAGAGTAAAAATTAGAGTTTAAAAATATTAAAATTAAAATGCAAAAAAAAATAGAGTTTAAAAATAATAAAGACAAGTCAATGAATATTGTTGAAAAAAAATTTAAAAAAAGAAAAAGAGGATAGCTTGAAGAGTAATTAGAGAGATGAAATAGGAAAATAAAATGAGTGAAAGAATAAAGGGTAAATGAAGAATATAATTTTATTAAAATAAAATAAATTAAAAAGTATTTAAGGAGATTTTCTTTTAAATATTGAGAAGGGTACAAGGCCCAAATTTTGCAGCCCAACTAGAAATCAACAAAAGCGTGTTGTTGTCTAACAAAACCAAACCCAACCTATTTGTTTGTAGCCTAACAATTCCCTCACATTTCAAAACCCGACCCACATTCCCGATCCGAACCGACCCATTTCCAAAAGCAATCATCATTTTGTTCCTTCTTAAACCCTAAACCTCGGTAGCCGGTAGGCCGCAGCAGCTTCCTTCAAATACCTTTTTCTTCGGATGTATTTCAGTTTTAGGGTTTGAGTTTAGGTCTTCTTCCATGGCCTTGTTCTTGCTCTACGAATCCGCTTCCGGCTACGCCCTGTTGGAAGCTCATGGCCTCGACGAAATCGGCCAGAACACTGAAGCCGTTCGGAACTCCGTTTTGGACCTCAACAGGTTCGGCAAAGTCGTCAAGCTTCGTTCGTTCAATCCTTTCACTTCCGCTCTCGATGCTCTCAAGCAGTGCAATGCCGTCTCCGAAGGTAACCGACCACCGTCTCACCATCACACTGTTATTCTCTGTTTGCATCTCCATGTTACTACGTGTTTTAGGCGTTATTGAAGTTGTATGTTATAGGGATTCAACCCGTACCAAGTGTTTTTTTTTTTTTTCGCCTTGTTTTTCTGCCATGTGTTTATTTATTTATTCATTTTTTTTTTGCGTATTGAGGGTTGCTAATATGCGTGATATTGGTTGACATTCAGTAAGGTGTTGTTTAGATAAACTTTTTCACGTGTGCATATAGGAGAAGAAAGTAAGAAGGTAAAATGGATTGAACTTCTCTGAAGTTATAAGTTGATTTTAACTTCAGTTCTTTTTACCTTCTTATTTTCTCTGGAAAAGCTTTATTGAAACAGGGCCTGAGTTCTAAATTTGTCTTGTGAACTTGGATTCCTTTTGTCTGCTTTTGTTTGTTGCTCATTTGTTTTTGGGTGTTCAGGCATATTAACTGATGAGCTGAGGACTGTTTTGGAGACTAACTTGCCTAAAGTGAAGGAAGGCAAGAAGTCCAAGTTCAGTTTAGGTGTGTCTGATCCTAAGATTGGTTCACAGATATCTGAGGTGACTAAGATTCCATGCCAAAGTAATGAGTTTGTGAGCGAACTTCTTCGTGGGGTGCGATTCCATTTTGACAAGTTTGTCAGTGATCTCAAGGTTAGTGTTTCCTCTGGCCTCCTTTTGTATTTCTGTGGGTTGAATTATATTTATATCATTAATTTATGTAAACTTTTTGTCCTGTTTGATTTTCACAGTCTGGAGATTTGGAAAAGGCACAACTTGGTCTGGGGCATAGTTACAGCAGAGCTAAGGTGAAATTTAATGTTAATCGGGTTGACAACATGGTTATTCAAGCTATCTTCCTTCTGGATACACTTGATAAGGATGTCAATTCGTTCTCAATGAGAGTCAGGTAGTGCGTTTCAACATTGGATACTCAATTAATTCTTGGATTTTGCATTTAAAATAATTTGTTTCCTTTGAGAGAATTTGTAAGCTTGAAGAATTCATTCTCTATTGGCTTGTCAATTATGAACAGAGAGTGGTATTCATGGCATTTTCCTGAGCTGGTGAAAATTGTAAATGATAATTATCTGTATGCCAAAGTTGCAAAATTTATTGAGGACAAGGCAAAGTTGACTGAAGACAAGATTCCAGACTTAACTGACATTGTTGGAGATGAAGATAAAGCAAAGGAGATTGTGGAAGCTGCCAAGGCCTCCATGGGTAGGATTCCAATCCTTTTTAGGTTTAACTTTTGTTTCATTCTTTATCTTATTCTTTTTTCTCATAATCTTTTCAGGGCAGGATTTGTCGCCAGTGGATTTGATCAATGTCCAGCAATTTGCCCAGAGGGTAATGGACCTATCTGAGTACAGGAAGAACCTATATGATTACCTGGTTGCTAAAATGAGTGATATTGCACCAAATTTAGCCTCTTTAATTGGTGAAGTTGTTGGTGCTCGTCTGATTTCCCATGCTGGTAGCCTTACAAACTTAGCTAAGTGCCCCTCTTCAACTCTTCAAATTCTTGGTGCAGAGAAAGCTTTGTTCAGGTTTAACTTCACCTCTTGTTTTGAAGTTTTTTAAGTTTGAAGTAGCAATTTGTTCATAGAAACCAAAACTAGATGGCTTCATTTGTGAAAGTGAAACTGCAAGAATTTGGCATTTCCGTTGTTGTAGGTTATGTGTTTTATCAGGACAACAGCTAAAATGGTCTAATATAACTATTTCTGTGTGCTCACTGCTAATTTATATTGTATTGCCTGCTTTATTCAGGGCACTAAAAACACGAGGAAACACCCCCAAATATGGTCTGATATTCCACTCTTCATTTATTGGTCGGGCATCTGCTAAAAATAAAGGCCGTATGGCTCGTTATCTTGCAAATAAATGTTCAATTGCATCACGGATTGACTGCTTTTCTGGTTTGTTGCTTACATATTCTATTTAGCAACATCTCGTGGCTTGTTTTTAGCACCTTTGTCATGATTTTGTTGTACTTCAATGCAGAAAGGGGTACTACTGTTTTTGGGGAGAAACTCCGTGAACAAGTTGAGGAAAGACTTGACTTTTATGACAAGGGAGTTGCCCCTCGCAAGAACATAGATGTCATGCAGTCTGCTATTGAAAGTGTTGAAGACAAAGGTACGGATGCAGGGAAACGAACTGTCCCTTTTTCTTGTTTTCCTTGAGAAGAAAGATATAAACTTTTTTGTGATTGTGAATGTATTGCAACTTATGACTGACCACTGTATGAAAAAACTATTTCTTTTTCTACTTCAGCTGAGGTGGTGGAGAGTTAGGTTTGTTTTAATGTTAAGAAGCATATATGTTGCAGTTCCTAATTTGTTTTTGGTCATGGGGTGGAAGCTGATGTATACTAATTATTGCAGATACAGATATTGAAGCTTCAGGCAAGAAGGCCAAAAAGAAGAAACAAAAAGCTGCTGCTGCTGCTGAGGGTGATGACATGGCTGTAGATAAAGTTCCAAATGGTGATGCGGAGGATCTTAAATCAGAGAAGAAAAAGAAAAAGAAAGAAAAGAGGAAATTGGAACAGGAGTTGGAGATTCAGGATCTGGCTGAAGATGATGGGGATGCCAATGAGCAAAATGGAACAGCTAAGAAGAAGAAGAATAAAAAGGATAATAACGGAGAAGTATTGGAGGCTGCTGACGAGTCTAAGAAGAAAAAGAAATCAAAAAAGAAGAATAATGAGTAAATTATGATGTATTTCTTTTAGCTTTTAGTGTCGAAATCGAATTTGTCATGTTATAGTTTCGGACAATGTTAAATTTTATTTGCTTGAACTTAACCAATTGTTGCATGTCTAGATTTATGTTGACTTGTCATTTGACGTACAAATTTTGTCCTAGTAAGTTTCCCCATAATTTCTGTATTATCGCATGTTTTTAATCTACTCTTTATTCTTGAACCGTTTCATTGCATCAATCCTGGGTTGGTTTAAGCAATTATTAAAAAATAAAATATTATATTGAAATTATAAAAGTGTACTAAATGATTTATTTTACATTTTTAGTAATTTAAAACGAGTGTTAAAGATTGGTGACAGTTCATATCTATATAACTGTTGTAGTTAAAGAATTGTATACTTCTATGATCTCATCAGTTAATGCCTGAAATAGTTTTTCCTTAATCACGATAGTTGAAATTTAAGTACTACCGTCGTGGTGAAACATTATTAAAACACCAGGTTTCGTTTCGCTTTATGGTTGATAAGATTTTTAGTTGTGTGGCTAACGAGCTACAAGCTTGGGTTTGCACCTCCAGTATACTTGAAGTCGTGTCTATTTGATGGCATACCAGATTTATGGGTCTCACAAAGAAGTCTACACATCTAAATCTGGATTAGTTGACTTTGGAAACTAGAACTTCCAGAGAACTCTTAATTCTTTCTGTGGCAAATTTGTCATAGAACAATCCCAGTGAAGCAACTCCTTGTGGAAAAACATATTTCACAAACTAGCAACTGCCCACGATGCCTAGTGGAGGCTGAGACCATTAACCACTGCCTGTTTAATTGTTCCTTCGCTGAGGCAGTTTGGGAGGCCCTATGGATTTGCGAATCTAAGAGCCCCACAGGATGACAGGGACCTCACGCCTTGGCTGTGTGATACTAACCTGACTAATGCAACTCTGGTTCCAACAACTATGGCTCATTGAAATGCCCTTGTTTTCAACCATCAACCCAAGTTGGTATCGACAATGTACGTAACGATTGTTGCACAAACACATGTATTGGAGGCTTTTACAAATAATACTAATCATAATAAACTCCCGCTGATAATTAGTGGGGTTGCCCCCTCGGAGTCTTATTGGTTCTGGGATTGCTAGTATTGGTGGCCTATGCAGAGATAATACTGGTCGGTTCCTTATGGAATTTTTTTTTTTTTTTGAAAAAAAATGATGTGACTCATTAAAAATTTATGTTTAATTTAATTACCCTATTAATCTAATTAATTATTTGATAATAAAGAATTGTTATAGAATAATAATCAACTATTATGAATCATAATAAAAATATTTTTATTGATTTTTAATGGAGAAATTAATGGAGGGTTATTATGATAATAAAGTAAAAGGTTCCTTGTCTTATCTATAAAAAAAATTTGTAGTATATCATTATTTAATGAACTTGAGGAAGAATAAAAGAAAAAAAATTATTTCCATAAATATCTAAATATTTTATAACAATTTGATAATAATGAATACAAGAAGTAAGTTTTCGTTATTATAAGCTATATTATATGATTTTAGTTTTTTTTTATATATAATTTTGTGGTAAAGTGGGGACAGTAACTATTCTCCAAGTAGAAATTTGAGCCTTACTGAAAGGCCTTGAACTATTCTGGAATGTTAGGTAGCGATATGTGATATGTTACTCATGACGGTTGTTGAGGTGGTGCACAAGAGTGTTGGCCACCATCATCCTTACTCTAACGAGATCATGCTTTTAAGAAGGTTAATCCAAAGAAGTTGGACGTGTTCCGTGAGAGAAGGGAATATTTGTGCAAGTCCAAAGACACAAATGGCAAGCAAATTAGTAAAGGAACAAGTCATATATACGCTTTACCCAATGAATCGTCTAAAACCCAAAGAATCTGATAAACACCATATATTATATGCCATAATGCTTAGTGTCATACCTCAAATGAATCTAGATGACACCAAATGTTGCCATTGCCCTTACGCCATTATCCAATCCATGGTATCACAATCTAAAATTTGCATAACGAATTCCAGTACAATATATACTTTCCAGCATTTTTTTAAGTCTAAAAAATGTCAAAAGTACTACGATCGTCTGTAATCAAAGTGCACCAAGAACAGGAGAATGATGTACAAGCGTGAGAATAAAAACACCCTGTTAATTTCCTGTTTAAGTGTTATAAAATGACTTGGACAGTTGGACTTGTGTAGCAAAATTTAATTAAAGGGACAGAAAAGGAAACATGCTACAACATATTATTTTTGTCCATAAAAATCTTTCACAATGTCAAAAACTTCAAATGTGTTAGAACTACTAAAGTCATTCTAGTAGTAGGTAAATATTAGTCGATTTAGTTGTCATTATAATTATAATGAATTAAAAAAAATTTAAATATGTTTTTATTTTTAAAATTTATAATAATTTTTTTTATCTTTAATTTTAAATTATTTTTTTATAGTTTTTGCAATTTTTAAAAATCTTGTTTTAATCTTTTAGATCATTTCACGTGTAGTCCAAATTAAAAAAAAAAAAAAAACTCAATACAATTAAACAAACAACTTTTCATTTAACTGTTGTATGAAAAGTAATATACAATTTCTTTGTATAAGAGAAGCATCTTAAATTAAAAGAACTATTAAAAAAGAGCACAAAATTAGATTAGTTGGTGAATGGCAACTACCAACTGGCAAGTTGGGATGCAGATCTACAATTTTAAATAGAACTTCACTGTGTGCAGTCACATCTAACGGCCTTTGAAATAGTGTTTACAGTTTTTTTTACTAGCCTGTGTTTATTGGGCCAAAATTTAATCTCTATCAAAAGTTGTTTGTTACGGTAAAAATTAAATATAGGATTTTTTAATTAAATATATCATCTTTATAATTTTTTAACAGAAAAAAAAAGTACTTGGTACTCATACTTTATGTTTATTATTATTTTAAAGTTTTAGAAAGAAAAAAAAAACGGTTGTAAAAGAAAAAAAGTTCAAAAAAGAAGTATAGCTGTTATAATAAATATTGACGAACACAACATGCCTAATCAATATGTTTTATAATTTTTTATTGATTAAAATATTTTTTTTTATAATTTCACTTATTTTACCTTTTAATTTTTATAGTTTAAAATATATTTTTAGTCCTATATTTATCTTTTTAAATATTTTTTCCCTATAATATAAGACATAATTTTTTAGTCTCTATATTTATATATTATAATTTTTTTTAATTTTTATATTTTAAAATAAATATTTTTAATTTATATATTTATAGTTATAAAGTAAAGTAAGTGATATTGAGAAAAAAAAAACATTTTAACTTTTTTTATTTGTTCACAAACTAACTAAACAATAAACACTTTAATGGCCATGATTGGGTGCAGTTGATTTACCAACGGTTGGCGATCTGAAACGTTGCCCATCAAAATCATCTAAACAGATCAAAGAATTCTTCTAAAAACAATTTATCAATAATATATATTAGTTTAAAAAATGATTATACTTTTTTAATACTATATTCTAATTTTTTTTCTCACTAATATATTTTTTAAGATGGAACAAAATATACCACTTTCGCTATTCACTTTCTAAAATACGATTTTTCTTATATTATATTTTTTCTTACTAATTTGTCTTTTTAAGACAAAATATAAATAAATAAAAAAATTATCCACTCATTAATTTTTTCATAGATAAACTTATATTTATTTTAAGGAGGCACATAGTGATTTATTCGGCGTTAGTTTTTATCGAATCGCAAATAATTAAATAATATTTTAATTTTTTAAACTCTTAATATTGAATATTTAATGAGAATACAATTGGGGAATTGACATTGAAGAATATTGATTAAGCCGGAATAAGCGATGGAAAAGCAAGTTGGTAGAAAGTAGAAAGGGTTGGCGTCTGCACTGCACCTAGCGAAGAAAAATATTAAAATAATAATAAACGGTTGAAAGGAAAAGAAAAAAGAAGCAGTCACCTAATACTTGTTAAGGTTAGAAGACGGCCCAAAGTGATTCTCATTTCTCGTTTGTGAGCATCGGAAAGAACAATGGCCAACACCAACTTAGAAGATGTTCCTTCTCTCGATCTCATGACTGAACTCCTTCGTCGTTTCAAGTGTTCCTCCAAACCTGACAAGCGTCTTATTCTCATTGGTATCTCTCTCTCTCTCACTCTTAATTCAGATCCGGAAATGCTTCTCTTAAATACTTCGCTCTTTTCCTACTCGTTGGGTTCGAATGTTGATGCGCTTTCTAGGGTTTATTTCACGCTGCACTCGGTTGTGTTTGCTGTAATAGGGAAAACGCCCAGAAATTTTAGTGCTTTTAGCTCTGCAGTTCAGGATGGAGATACACCGTGTACTGGGAAATTTTTCACTTGCCACAGAAGAAAATGAGAGAGATTTACTTTTCAGTTTACGGATTTTTTTGTTGGTGTGTTATTCTGCTGAACTTTTTTTTTTTTAACTTCCTTTTAGTTTTCATTTGGTGCTTGTATGATTTTCGAAAGTGTGTGCTTGTGGGTGTTATGCTGTGAAGTTATTGCCTGGCTTGGTGCCTGGTGATTTGAACCCCACGAGGCATGGGGTCTTTCAAAAAGTAGTTCTTCTTGTCGCTTCTGAACTGATTTATGCTTGCCATTTGAATATGATTCTTTATATTGCCGAATCAACGCAAATCCATTCCTTAGAAAGGTTTGTGTTTGTGTTCCTTCATTTTAGGCTTGATAATTTTTGTTACCCGCCTCGTAAAATACTTGAGGTGTGTAAGCTTTACTTTTAGACAATAGAAACTTGTACGTCTGTGGCAAAGATTTTCTTATAATTTGATTGGATAATAAACTAGTTTAAAAGTGTTTCCAAATTCCTGTACAAATTCTTGTTTTTTTCTTTTTTACATTTATTCTAACTTTAGTTTGTTGAGTTGTCTGTGTACTCTTTGGTGGCTTTTTCTTTTTTGATTTGGTTTCAAGCAAGTTCTGTTGATTTTGTCTCTAGGACTTTATACTCACTTGATTATCATTTGAAATTGCACTCTTCCATAGAGCCTATGCTTTCTTAGCATGTTGCATCTTATAATTATTAGCAATTATTTTGCTACTAATACAATTTCAGTCATTTTGTGACACCTACTCTCTCTATTTGCTAAACAGAAAAAGGAAGCTCTAAATTGAGTTGCCCCATTGTACTTTCAAATTGAACCTGTTTATGTCACAAGAGTTAGGATAGGAAATTTAACGTGTGTATTCCTATAATCCTGTTATTAAAGGGAGGTTTCATCGATAATAGATCCTTGTCCTCCTTTTTTTATGCTGCTCTTTTATTTAGTTTGAAAAATAAAAACAGTGAAACACAGTAGTGGAGTATAACTTGAAAAAATGTGAATGCAGGCCCACCTGGATCTGGAAAAGGTACCCAGTCCCCAATCATAAAGGATGAGTACTGCTTATGCCACTTGGCTACTGGTGATATGTTAAGAGCAGCTGTAGCAGCTAAGACTCCTCTTGGTGTCAAGGCTAAAGAAGCTATGGATAAGGTAAGGCCTTTATGTATAGAATCTCGCCTGAGGATTTATTGCTTTATTATGTCTACTTTCTTGAGACATTGCTAATATGATATTATGTTGTAATTTTTCAGGGAGAACTTGTTTCTGATGACTTGGTTGTTGGCATTATAGATGAAGCAATGAAAAAACCATCCTGTCAGAAAGGTTTCATTCTTGATGGTTTTCCAAGAACTGTGGTCCAAGCACAGAAGGTATAATATTGTTTGACATCCGAGTTTCTTTTGTTTGAAATATTGGGCTTGTGTAACATTGAATTACTTGATTATATGCACTGTTTTACATGCTGTTCATCTACATCTTTTGAACCTGCATTTTCTTTCTTTGCAGCTTGATGAGATGCTGCAACAACAGGGAGTTAAAGTTGATAAGGTGCTCAATTTTGCAATTGATGATTCAATCCTTGAGGAACGAATTACCGGTCGCTGGATACACCCATCCAGTGGCAGAACATACCATACAAAATTTGCCCCTCCTAAGGCTCCTGGGGTTGATGATGTAAGTCTGCATCTTTATTTAAACCCTGCAAAATGTTAGTTGCCTAAATATGATTTCTGCGTATAGGTGCTACAGCATTTATGGGAGTTCTGTAAAAGCTGAGTATCATTCAAACTTGAATATTGTTAAGATGTCTAGCATGGCTATAAATATGGCCATGCACTTTTTATAAGAGTTGCGCAATTCTCCACTGTAGAACTTGCGTCAGAGATTGATTTTGGCACAATACCTTTTTAATATGAAATCAAAGCCTATTTGATCTTGATGTTACGCCACTTGCAAATGTCTAGTCACACAAACTCAAAGCTTGTGTCTAGTCTTGGGTGTGAGATGCCCCACATTGGCCAAGAATATGGCCATGATACTCCTCTAATAAGACTTGGGCTATCCTCTCCCCTTAAGCTTGTATTTGGCGAGTTAAATCCTAGTTCGTTTTAATTAATATAATAATGAGGTGCCATATTTTTTTGTTAAAATGTTCTATTCGGAAATGAATTTGGTTTTAGGGCCCTGCTGGTTTTAGTTGCTGGCAGTCCTGAATCCTGATAGTCTTTACAAAAGTTTTTTTGTTCTTTTTTTCTGTTGCCCATTTTGGATGAATAGAAATTTTAGGGGAAGTGGGGGATGCCTAGTTTTAAAGGTTAGGGCGTGCCACAAGCTTTGTTTTGTTAGCTTAAGGAAGCACTAGCCCTGAAACACTTTCATTGTTGAATTTGTTTTCCTCAGGTTACTGGCGAACCACTCATTCAGCGCAAGGATGACACTGCAGCTGTTCTTAAATCGAGACTGGAGGCATTTCACAAGCAAACCGAACCGGTATGATTCTGAATCCTTTTTCTAATGGACTTGGATTCCCTTATGTTGTTAAGTAACATTATAATTTATATGGTCATGTTGGAGAAAGAAAGAGAGACAGTTGTAATTAAATTTAGTGGGTCCTACCACCAATTATGATGGATCCTTGTTTGATAAAAATGGTCTCTTTTTAACTTTTCCATTATTATGTTACTTAACATGACCGGATCCAAATTCTTTTTTCAACTTAACAAGTAAAATTTCAAAGTTTGGACATACACTTACTGTCAGCAAGATAACGGGTTGTAATGTTCTTGGTTATACTTAGGTTTGATTAAAACTTGATTTAATTTCTCTCCTCTCACCATTTGGGCAAATTTATAGCATCGTTTCAATTTTTGTTTGTGTTCTGATGCTGGTTCTTTATGGCTATGGTAATTATTTGAGGAATTGTTTCTCATTTATCTTTTTTAGAATTTTCTTTGTAATTTCATGGGTCTTGATTGAAAATTTGCGCATTGAACATGCAGGTAATTGATTACTATTCGAAGAAGGGAATTGTTGCTAATCTTCATGCTGAGAAACCTCCCAAAGAGGTGAAAGTTGAAGTGGAGAAGGCGCTGTCTTAAATAGAGTTCACCTTGGATCCTCGGGCTCGAACTGCAATTGTTCTTTCGTTTTTCCCCTATAGGAAGACTTACATTGCTAATTTGTATTTTAATATACTCTGAAATCCGCTATCCTTTCAGCTTTACTGCAAATGCCGGCTGTTCTCAAACCCAGATTCTAAGAGCTACTTTGATGAATAAAAAGTCAATTGAATTTAAATTTTGTTGTGTTTATTTTTTTGCATGAATTTTCTCTCGACATTTGCAGGTGTTTTTGTACTCGTGGTAGGTATTGGTTTCATTAAAATTTGTTGGCAAAATTTGAGCTACGCACAGCATGTTTGTGGGAAAGCATTTCTGCTCATCATACTTGCTTTTGATGGTGTGAAACGGGATTTTGCGAGAAATTGTCGCATGTTTTGTTTTTCACAATCAAGTTTGCTCCTAACATGTTTGATTAAAAGCCAATAAATGTAGTTTTTACGTTGGGGTAGGATTATTATAATGAATTGCTGTATATTTTTAATTTATGATTGAAAATATTCATATATAAATTATTTTTCTATTATTCTAAATAAATAAATTTTGTAAAACTGAAGTGACTCAAAAATAAAAATATGATCGCTAATTTTGTATAATTCAGGTTACATTTATATTTTTTACTTAAAAAAATTGATATCATTTCCAGATTATAAAAATGACATTAAATGCATGTTCAGGTAATGGGTGGTAAGAACTAAAAATACCATTAAAAAAAGGCATGGAGCTTTCTAAAACCTATACCATCTATTTGTATGGGTTTACAAAAGATTAGTCCATGCATTGGTATGGAGCTTCCTCTAACCCTTTATGCCTGCCTAAACAGAAACCTATTTAGTTTTTCAAGCTGGTTGTAAACCTCTCTGAAAAAAGGGCAACCCGTGAAAGAAAGAGTAATAACCTTCCAAGAGGAAGTCTAGTTTGAGTATGGCTCAAGATATATTGGTAACTTCTTTCTTCTTACGACCATGTAGAACAAGTTTTATGTATGAGTCTGACACTTGTACATAAAACAAACAAGAGTCTTGTTAATCAGTATACTAATGACATTTATTAAAGAATTAATATGTAGAAAGTTTTCATTGAAAATTAAAAAAAAGTTACACAAAAAATAAGTAAATACACTTTCAATGAAAATTTACTATTGCTGATTTTTTAACCAGTGCACTAAATTTCCAACAAGAAATAAGGAGAGGAGGGATTCATTTATCTAATACTCGGAATGTAGTGAAATACTCTGATGCCATTAATTAACACTGTCATCATAGAACAGAAGATATACACACTCTTAATTACTGGGATAAAATATTGGTCAAAGCCAATCTCCAATACCGTATCCACTATCCAGAAGAGAATCCTAACAATGGCAATCACAGGTTTTCCCAGGATCTATCTTGATAGCTACCTCTTTTTTCCCTCATGGAATGAAAAATTTCCTAAGCTACAACAATATTGTTCGAGCTGTCTTCTAGGAGCAAAACTACACTTTCGTAATGATTTCTCTAAATCACATTACATGATAAACAGATGGCCCTATACTGGAAGATGCTGAGAGGATTTCCAATCTTGGGAATAAGGAAGATCAATGTTCCACTGATGTCCTTAAATCTCTCTTGTTTCTCAGACAGAACCTCTAATAACTTCTCAGTTAGCTTGGAAAAAAATAGAATGTAACCCGTGATAGCTGGTGGCTTTAAAGATCCCATACTACATACTACAAATCGGACCTCATCCTCATAGTCATGGTCCAAATCCTTCGAATAAAGCAAAGGAAACATCTTTGTCAACATGTGAGGCTGGCCTTTAAAGAACCACACTTTTTTATCACTTCTTTGCCCATGGGAATCCTAAATAGCTTTTACACAATTTCTCTTCCTTCTATCCACATCAGTTAAGAGGAAAAATTTGGTGTTACCATCACCAAGCTTCAAACAATCACACATAGCCTTATGATACAAGTAGGCTTCCTCTTGAGCGATAAGAAAGCTATACTTCTGCCAAAGACTCTTCTAAGCCTCTGTTTGTTTTCACGTCACTCTAAATACGTGGATCAACATGAAGCAATAAATACTTGCTTTGTATTAATTTGTCATTTTTTATTGGCAAACATGGATCCTGAAGGCCAGTGGCAGAAACCGGACATCATCTAGGAGTCAATACCAATATTTTATTATTTATTTTTTTGGGAGGGCTACAATATATTTTTATATACAAATTTTGGAGTAGACCATGATACCTCCAATCCCCCTAATCCAAACATGCACTAAATCTTCTCAAGATAATCTTCTAGCTATGCTTAGCTTGTTATTTATGCCTTCGAACTTGGCCCACACCCTTGAAATAAATTCCCATAAAAAGATAGTTTCAATTCAGTTGCTTGTTCCTGAAACCTGTTAACAACTTTCATCCATCATTGTCAACATTCCAAACATAAGCACAAGATGATGAAAGGAGGGGTCAACCAACATCCTCCAAGGTCCATTTGAGAAGACCCCTTATTATCAGACTTAAGAGAGGGTAAATGAAAAATAGTTGAATCCATGTCACTACAAATTGCAAACCCCATGATCCAAACTCTCTCCTTAACCCTTCTCCCCCTTCCCAAGTGAAATTTAATCTTCAACAAAATGTTTTTTTATATAACATGCTTCTTTCCATCTCTTTCCGCTGTATCCAAACACGGCATTTTTACCTCACTTTCTCCTCATTTGTATCCGTTCGTACTCCTGTGTTTATTATATATTTCTTATCTGTTTCGCTCATCTGGACGTATAAAAGTTTGTATGACACTGGTTCTCTTACAATGAGATCATGTAACAGATTGTCGTACTAATGTTTTAAGTTGAATATACGTTACTGTGAGACCCCCTTATTATTTCCTTCTCCCCCGAGGCCCATTCTCATTTCCTTCTTCCTTACATTGCTAACCCTCTCCTCTCGCTCACTTCTCGTTGTACTTCTCTGAGGCTGACTTTGTGCTCTCTTGCTGGTGCTCCACTCAAATTCAAGGTACCGACTAGGTGATTCTCTTCTGGATCCAGACCGTGCGGAGCTTCTCATTTTTCTTCTTCTTCTTCGTTTTCCTTCTCGAAGCTCGAATCTTCAAGCTAAGGTAAGGGAAGCTAATTTCTTTTGCAGATTAATTGCTGAAAATGAGTTCTAGTAGCTCATTGTTGTTTGAACGTTGGATGATTTGAGCTGAGGTTGATGAAAATGGATTTTTCCGGGGTTTCGGGGTTTGAGTGAAAATTTGGGGATTTTCCTTGTTTGATGTTGCATGTTGAAAAAGCTGGTACTTTTGGGTTGTTTGATGAAAATGTGATGTTTTGGACCGTTTGCATGTGGATTTTTGGTTGATTCTTGCAGGTTTTGTGAAATTTTCGAATCTGGGGGCAGTTGCAGTTTGAATTTGCGCCGGGCGCAGTTCTTCGCGCCGGGCTCAATTTAAAGCCGCGTCTCTGTTGAGTTTTGCGCCGGGCGTGATATTAGATCGCCGGGCGTGAGTATTTTGATTTTGAGGTCTTCATCAAAGTTGTAGCCTTGGATGTTAGCTTTCCAATGGCGTTGGAATCACTCAAAAAAGGAGTTGTAGAACTCTAAATGTGGCTGTTTTAGTGAAGAGGGGTCGAGCTGTCAGCTTTGGTTATAGCTGTTGCGGTTTTCATCATTTTTAACAAGGTAGATGAAGGAATTTGGACTTGGTGTCTTAATGAGAGTTGTAGGAAATTTGATTATCTTTCATATGAGATAAGGATGAAATTTAAAGTCGCGTCTCTGTTGAGTTTTGAGCCGGGCTTGATATTAGCGCGCCGGGCGTGAGTATTTTGAATGTTGTAGCCTTGGATGTTAGCTTTCCAATGGCGCTGGAATCACTCAAAAAGGAGTTTTAGAACTCTAGATGTGGCTGTTTTAGTGAAGAGGGGTCGAGCTGTCAGCTTTGGTTATAGCTGTTGCGGTTTTCATCATTTTTAACAAGGTAGATGAAGGAATTTGGACTTGGTGTCTTAATGAGAGTTGTAGGAAATTTGATTATCTTTCATATGAGATAAGGATGAGCATGGTAGGAGTAGTATAACTCCCGATGCGCTGTTTGTTGTGATGGTTGCCATTTCACATTTAGTGATTTGGTTAAGTTGAAAGTTGTTTTAGGTGCTTAGGTGTACTTTTGTTGTTTGGGTGAGTAATTTGACAAGATAGATGAGTTGTAAATAAGATGGTTGGGTCGTATTAGGTGTTGATCATGTTGTTTTAAGCTGTTAGTGATGAATGATTATTGAGCTGAATGATGATGTTGATGTGCTGCGCTGAGCGCGGCCCTTGTCGCGCTGGGCGTGAGACTCCTTGGGAGTCTCTGCCTTGTGGGCGCTGGGCGCAATTGGTATTGCGCCAGGCGTGAGTGAGCCTTGGGCTCTCTGGCTGGGTCCCGCCGGGCGCGGGCATGCTTGCGCTGGGCGCGCTGGCCCCCTGGTGCTCTCTGGTTGCACTGCGCTGGGCGCAACCACGAGTGTGCCGGGCGCGGGGATGTGACTTCACTAATGGATGTTAGAGGTTGTTTATGTTGAGTTTAAGGAGAAGCTGTTGATTATGATGTGATGACTAGCTGAAATTGCTGTTTGATGATGTTGAGCTGTGTTAGGTGTATGTTGCTATAAGATGCTTAGATGTACTGTAAGACGATAGGTTGTGCTGATTAATGTTGCCAATGTTGTATGATGAAAAGTTGTGTTGTGCGGTATGTTGTTAATGATGTAACGCTGGGTTGTGCTATGTGATGCTAATGCTAAACTTTATTATTTGAGTCGAACTGAATTATAGGCTGATCATTTTTGAATTTTGCTGTGATTGCTGAGCTGAGATGAAATTGATACTCCCTCTCTATACACTCCAGCAGAAACACAAATTTATATCTATCTTGACTGTATTTGCCCGCGTCTTCCTCCAATTGATCAAAATAAGATGAAGGAACCTGTACTACATCTGGGACCAATGCCCAAGCCATCAAAGGTTGAGGTTCGCTACTATAAAGGAGTAAAATCGAACTGGCAACAAGACCCCGTCAAAGCATTAAACTACACTAAAGATGATGCTGAGAAGCTCTATAAGAATTTCATGCACAAATGTAGTCAAGAAGTTAGTTCGTCTGGTCTCTCAGATGAAGAAAAGGCTAAGACCCTCATGCTG